CCAAGCTCCCTGCCCCACCTGACTTTATTGTTTAAACCTAATTTTCCTTTGAAATTAAACTCCAAACAAGAAAAGGTGGGGCAGTAGAAAGTACATTGGGGTGGGGGGCTAAATGAAGTGCTGGGGCTATCATTTTTGGAAGCCTTTCGGATAGGGATGGGCAGCTAACCTAGAAGGAATGCTTAGATCTGAATAGAAACCATCTATTTTTGTGTAGCAAACATCTCCGTGCATTCCTGTTTGATAACAGTATTTCTGTCCTGAAAGCCACTGGATCCCAGCAAAGGATCTTCAAGGGAGGTTTATAATACCAGGCAACCCCATGGTTAGACTCCGCCTGACCTCTTCAGTTCCTTAGTAAGTTCTTTAATTACAAGACAGGACAATTTCAGCCAGCACATAGGGGATAAATGTCCCCATGGTAACTTGAGAGGCTTTGACGTTGCTTGGCTACCCAGCTCTTGTTGGGCCGCTTCCCCCCTTGAAACACAGAACGAAGCCTTTGGCAATGAATCAGTCCAGGGTTTGCATTATCTCCTGGCATTTTAAGGCCTTATTTACAATCTATCCTGCCTCCTTGTCTTCCCAAACTACATTATCCTTTGTGATCATGAAGCAAATTTTGGAGCTGGGCAGAGCAGGGATGAAATTCAGGTTTCAACAAGGAAAGAATAAAACCTATTCCTGTCTTATTTGGGGAGGAGGACAAGGCTCTTCAAATCAGCTTAGAATCCTTGATGCCTTGTCTGCTTTTATGAATCAGAAAACTCAGAATTAAAACTGCTTTTAAAGCTTCTCTCTGTCTGCCCCTACCACCCAATCGCAAATCAGGTTACACTGATATGAAGTCTCAACATTTCCAAATATGCCTTTTCTTTGGGGGTCAGTGATATGCAACTACACAGTGACCTTCTGAAGCTAATATCCCTTTAAAAGAAACACTTTTTTTTACAAAAGAAAAGGAAGACTTAAAATGAACCCCCTACCTTTAGGATAGCTGAATTTAGAAATCTTAACCTTTTTGTTTTTTGGTGCCTTCAAGTCAGTCTTGTCATTCACAAGTCCCTGCAGTTTTCTTAGCAAGATTTTGGAAATGATTTGCCATTGCCTCCATCCTAGGGCTGTGAGAGACTGACTGGCCTGAGGTCACCCAGCTGGCTTAAGGTGGGAATAGAACTCATGGTCTCCTGGTTGCTGGCCTGGTGCCTTAACCGCTATACCAAACTGGCTTTCTGTCTATCTACTTTGCAGATAATAACAGGCTGCTTATCTGAGAAAGGATAAGAGATGCTGGGGAAGCACAGATTGCCAGCCCCTTGGTGCTGCTTGCCAACCAGGTTCATACATTGTCCTTAACCGTGGTATGGTATCACTCATCATTGGCTGAATTTGCATAATGTGTTAAGCCAAAATGAAACCACATAATGGCTTAGTATGATGTGTCAACCCAGTCTATATAGGAGTATAAAATAAAGGTGAAAATCTATATATGTGGTTGCTAAGAATCGACAACTCGGTGGCCATAATCATACCCAATACTTTGGGCATCTCAAGAAGGTCACCACAGTCTACTAAAGTTGGGTCACAATTGCCTTAAAAAGCCACTCTACATTGGCCTATGGATGTGTGCGTTTATTGGAGCATTACAAGCTTCTTTGATCCCTGTTAACGTTATGTGGAAAACTCCCAGTTCAATTCTTGGTAACAACATAAAGGGCCCCCAGTCTATTTCGAAGAGCAGAGGAATAGCAAATACATCTGCGTTAGGGTCTATAGGAAGAGGAAATGGTGTCCTAAACATTCTGTTGCAAAAATGACCTAATATTTCCTTTTTCCTTTGCCTGATGACTGGTGCGTTTCCCTTTTGTGTAACAGACAGGTTTGAGCTGGATTTGCTAGGTTATCTGGAGAGTACAGTTAAACCCTTTAACTATGAAATGCTTAATTGAAGAGGGGTGGAGGAGACACACGTACATGCACACAAACGTACAAGAAAATTCCCCAAGTAGACACCTTTTATCGAGGTCAACTTAGAGCTGGAAATGGGCTGTCGAAAGAGTGAAAGCAAGGAATTGTGATTAACTCTGAAATAAATAAAGCTATTTTTATTTTAAAAGCAACTTCAAAACAGGAAGTCAATCCCTGAACTAGATAGATCAAAAGCACATCGTCAGGCATTCCCAACTGCTGGGCCTGGTGTAACAGAATAGATCATCAGACTGGCAAATCCCTCATGCTAGCTAACCTCTTTGTCTGGATTGGTGCAAGCCCAGCTATTGTGGTTGGTCCACCCCAGTTTATGAACTTGTATGTTGTATAAACCCAATCCAGGTAGCTTAATAAACTACAGCTTAGCATGTGCATAAATCCAGACTTGTAAAGGCAATGTAGAGTCAGAAAGATTAGATCGGTAGTTAAGCATGCCCACGTATAGGGAGACTGAGAGTGCATGAGCAGTTTGTACAATATGAGTGGATAAGCTTTATTTGATTGCAACAAGGTCTTCCAAGAGCAAGGGTGCTGCCTGAGGTCCCTGAAAACCCCAGAGCTCCTTCTCCAAAAGCTGCTAGGACAAAGCAACATTTTATATGACAGAGGAGCACCTAATTGCTCCCAACATCCCACCCAAAAGGCCAGAATGAAGGAAAAAAAGCTACATACCTTTGAAATAAAACACCACATTGTTAGCAGCAGGACTCATCCAAGTACCAAATTACAGTTGGTTTTCAGATATTTCTTTCCTGAAAAAGCGTTCATTGCTAATTGCACCATCAATCAATCAAGTGCTCTCAAGCTCTGACTTGTACAATGGTGAAGGTGTTTACTCTTGTACAGTATACCCTTTCTGGTGACAGATCAAGTGTCTGATCAAGGCTTCGTGTGGGTAGAAGATCACCATGTAATCACCGTCTCGCAATGGCTACATGCCTCAGAAGTCCATGCCCGTGCTACTTCGCAGAAGGGGGTGGGGGTTGTGTGTGTATGTAGTAGGGAGTGGGGGAAGCAAGGGAGAAGAACGGGTGCAGAAGTTGTTGACTGCAGTTCTCCCCTGCTCCCTCTCAAATCCCAGTGCCAGAATGCCGCTTTGAGGTTCTGTGATCTAAGTACAGTAGGTGCAAAGACAACCTTCCCTTACTGATGCTTTCCAGATGTGCTGGTATTACAATTCCCCCGGCTGTGGAGTTGTCATGCAACGCGTATAGACAGCACGAGTTTGGAGAAGTTGATGTGGGTGCCTTCGTTATCCCTCTCCTGAGCGTAACAGCCTTCAAAACACAACTCTGTTTAAATTGGCCAGAAAATAATATATGCCTCCTGCTTCGTTTCCTCCCTGCTTTCATAATAGTTCCCCTTTGCACTTTATTCCTTCTTTTGTTTTGTTGAAAACAAACAGATCCCATTGTGCCAAAGAAGTCCTGCCTTAACCAACATGGTCCTTTTCCAAATAATCCCGCCTGGGGTTATATACTCCAACTGAATTTGGCTGTAATCCTGAGCTGTAGTTTGTTCAACCAGAGGTTAGGTATGAATTGTAACTTCCTGAGGTCACAAAACACACTAAATCTTAATCCAAAGGAATCGCATAAAGAGTTAGCATGTTTTGTGGACTTTTATGCCATTGCCTTGTTTTGTAAAAGTCTTGATGATTTTTTTTTTTAAAGCTGTTGCCGCTTTGCACCAATGCAATTTCCCCATTTAACCCTGTACTATCTCCTGTACTTCCAGCTAGACACCCTTCCTATCACTTCTGCTTGCTCTACCCACTGAGCAACAATCCTTTCTTCCACATTCAAGGCACTGTTTGTGAGCGCATGCCCTGGGCCACCACCTCACTTGTGGTGTGGTCTCCGAGATACCACCAGAGCCATCTTGAGCAAAAATCACTTCCAATGTACTGGCATATCTCATCAAGACTGGAGTGTACATCTTCCCAAGTCTGAACTAAACAAGTCCTGAAAAAGAGGAAGATGCCAGTCTGGGATATACAGATTTAAGAACTTGAAATCCTCAGATTCAACTGAAAACAACCTGGTGCTCAACTCCATGCAATTGACTACTTCTGGGAATCCTTGCAGGCAGTTTAGCAAAACCCATCATTTCCTCTTGCTGCAACTGGTTCCCTGTATGGAAGTTCGCTATAGCCCTCACATCCTTATGTTTTCTGCATATCAATCTACTTTGCCCTGAAGATGATCCAAGCCAATGGAAGCAAGCTTAATAAATTTATGGTTGCATCACAGACTACCTCTCACTTCACCTGACCCATGAGATCCTACCTTGATTTTACAGGTAGCTGTACAAAAATTTGATGCCACGGGGAAGCTTAACCACATCGTGCAAGCATCAGCTTCTGCAGACTAAAGCTGATGCCCTGATGCGCTAATTTTTTTGCTGCCACAGGTGTAATAGGCCATCTCATTAAAGGAGGGAAACTGCAAGGCTGGAGGGAAATGAAACGCACAGGAATGACTCTATTAGAAAAGAAATAGGTCCCGATATGTGGCCTAAAGAAGTTCATAGCTACTAAAAGCTAAATACCAGGCTGATGCTTTTCTTCGCTGGTTTTCCTAGCTTATCGCCTCATGCAACCACTCAAACTTGGAAACTAAACAAATACCCTGGGCCCAGGATGGAAACATCTGGAAAGAGACAGTGGGCTAAGAAAACATCCCCCACTCCCCACAAATACATGACAACACAGAGCTGTGTCTCTTGTCAATCTCTTCTTACCCAATAAATCATACTCAGTGTCTTAGTCTTGAAGTTGTTGGAAGACTTTTAAAAAATAAAATAGTCACTTTAAAAAAAAAGATCCAGCAAATACAACTGGAAATATATACTTCAAAAGCAGGTGGAGAGTTGAGAAAAGAAGGAACGTTCTACTTTTTTTTTTAGGCTATCTGAACAAGTCATGTTTTTACGGATAACGTTTAAAACTTAAGGGGGAAAAAGGAGACGTGCAATCATTTCATATATAGATATATATTATAAATATGCAGATATATAGAATATACCAAGATCTTTGATTTGAGAACACTGTTGATAAAGACAGACGCTTAAGTTACAGTGTGAAATAATACAAAATACAGTACCAGCATATTGTCCCTGCTCTGAATCCACTGAAGTGAATTAAGGCTTAACCAAAAAGCTATGGATGCAAATGGAAAAAGGACCAGGTCAAAATCTGAAATCAGAAACTTTGACAAAGGGATCGTTCTCTACCACATTTTAAAACTGGGATGGATTTTATTTGGAGCATGAAAAATAAAAAGTCAATACTGAAATGGTTATTTGGCAACAAAACTTCCAGTCCAAATTTAATCTTGTTATCCCTTAACTTAAGGATAATAGTTACATCATTCAAAAATCAACAAGGCTGTGCGCTGAGCACAAATTGCTAATGGTTGATAATAGCTCTGACCCAGTCCGGTTAACTTGGAAGTTGATCCAGCAAAGACCAACAAGAACACAGGAATCCTGTAGTTTTATTCCAAGCGTATTTGAGGAGAAACCATACAAGAAACTGCTATCTAACTACGTAACGCTGGGTGCCAAGCTATTTCTAATTTTGTTTAACGGAAATTTTGCCCAGTGTTAAAAGAGACGGGGAAGAGAAGACAAAAGTAATGATAGGAAAAGATGGGAAGTTTACAAATGGGAGAGAACATCTGTGCGTGCACCCTCCAATAAAATTCCATAAAATTCCATACACCCCCAATAAAATTCCATAAAGTTCCATACACCCCCCCAATAAAATTCCATAAAACCTGGTGCAGACGCACTCCCACCCTCCTCTAGAAGTACCCACCTTTTACACCTTCACATTACAAATAAAACAATCCCCCCAATTATTTCAGCATAATACACCCAAGACTGAGAACACCCCCACTTACATTTACAGTGAGGACAAAGCTGAGTTCCCACCCCCCTCCACCCCCAAACAAACATCCACTGATTTGGGGTTCCCATTGAGAAGGGGGAACCCCTCTCCACTTATCTACAATCTAAAAACTAACTTCAAAAGTGTGGGAAAGGTGTTACCAAGAGCTAGAACACCCTAGTAGCTTCCACTGAAGAAGCAAAGCAGCCAGGCATTCAGTGAGGGCTAGTACAATACGAAATCCATACAAAGAAGAATTCTAAACGCAATCCTGGATGTGGGTTTTCCTCCCCCCCCCATAGTTATTTTTTCCTAAAGTCACAAAAATGGGTAGGGGGGCTTGAATCCTCGTTTTCATCCGAGGACAAGCCACCCCTCGCCTTTTCCTGCCAACTTTTGCATTGATCGTCTTCGGAGGTCTCCCAGCTACCGCCGGGCCGATGCAAAGCTGCGTCTGTCTTCTCAGTCGGCCCCGCGACGGGTGGATGGCGCTCTAAATCTCTCATGCGGACAAGCCCTCGCGCTCCCCGACCCTCTTTCTCAGACATAGTTCTTCTTGTCGTATTCCCCGTTGGACACGGGAGCAGCGGGCCGCCGAGGGGCGGAATACTTGACCGGGAAAGAGGTGGTGTCGTCCTTCCAGGCAGAGGCGCTGCAGATGAGCGCGCCGCCCAGGAGCAGAAGCGCAGAGGCCGCCCAGCCTAGGTAAAGCGCCGCGCCCATCTCGCGCTTCTTGGACGGCTCCACGTTGGGGTCGTAAAAGTTGCTGATGATGGTGTTGGCGAACCAGGAGGGGGGCACCAGCACCAGGAAGCCGCAGATCACGAACAGGGCGCCTCCGATGCCGGCGATCCAGTCCTTGATCTTGGACCCGTGCAAGCAGGTGGTGCACTGCGCCCCGGTCACCGTCACCAGCAGCGCCACCAGCCCCAGCAGCACCCCGATGACCATCAGAGTCCGGCCGGCTTGCACCTGCGGACTGAGCGCCAGGATGGAGTCGAAGACTTTGCACTGCATCTGTCCGGTGCTTTGCACCACGCAGGCCATCCACAGCCCCTCCCAGGTGGTCTGCGCCACCACGATGTGGTTCTCGATTAAAGCCGAGACCTGCCACGTGGGCAGGGCGGCCACCAGGATCGCTCCAGCCCAGCCCAGCACGGACAGCGCCAAGCCCAGCAGCTGGACCGCCGCAGACGCCATCGAGGCTCCAGGGACGCCGGAAAAAAAAGAAGGGGTGCGTGCGTGCGTGTGCTCGCTCTCTCGGCTGGCTGGCTGGCTGGCTGGCTGGCTGTCTCGTCGTCCACCTCCTCCTCGGAGCCGTCCGCTGGGTGCCTCGCAACGCTCCTTTCTCCGCCCGTCGGGGATCTCTCCTCAGCTCGCGCTTTCCACGTTCTGCCTTTGCTGGTGCGCAAAGATGCCCGCGCGGACTTTATATAGGCGAGGTGCGCTGCCCGGCCCGGCGCGCTCTGCCCTCCCCGTCGAAGGGGGGAGAGAGAGACGCCCCCACCCCGGCGCTGCCTTCTCCGCCGGCCAATAGGAAAAAAGGAACGGCCTCCCTGCAGCCAATCAGGAGGGCTGGAGACAGAGCAAGTAGCGATCTCCAAAAAGGGAATGTCAAAAAACGCGCGGGTGACTCAGGATCCGAGGCTGGGGCGCTGGTGGGGGCAGGAGAAAGTGTCTGGGGTGGGGGGGGGCGGCTCCGTCTGACACATCACTAGCCGTTCTTCCCGTTTTCAGGGCAAAGAGGCGATGGGGGGGTGGGGAGGGCGAAGCGTACTTCCCAGATTGCAGAAACAGTCGAGGAGCAGCCGCGGGGGCGCTGGGCAGAAAGGCGAGAGATGCGGTCCACACCGTCCCTCCGTGTGCAACATGTGTCAGGCAGGGCAGCGGGATCCGGGGACAGGATCTGCGCCTTGCAAAACCCGGTCTGCTCCTGCCCCCGATGACCTTAAGAGAGAGAGAGAACCGGCCGAAGCCTGTGGACTGAAATTTATTTTTTCAATCTTATTCTCGGGCGTTATTTTTTCCGTGAATGTTTGAGAGGGAAATTAAAACAAAAAAACCCGCAGCAGCCACCTAGGAAAAACAGTAGATAGATGGTAGTTATATGATGAAAGGAGGGGGGAGAAACCCTAGGTCTGTTCTTTATTCTGAAAGATGGGTGTGCAAGTTTGTGAGCGTTGGAAAGCACCCGCTGCCAAAGACCTTTCTTTCAATTCTGCTTTTTCCAACCAGTCTTTTGAGGGAAGCCTTGTCAGCGGCCCCCTTTCTCAGAACTGATGTTTTATTTTATTTTATTTTATTTTAATGTTAATGATTTATAAGGTTTAGAAATTGCCTGGCTCCAAGGCTCTAGGACAGTGTTTCTCAACCTTGGCAACTGGAAGATGGGTGGACTTCAACTCCCTGTCCTTGATCTTGGGGGAGTTCTGGGAGTTGAAGTCCACCCATCTTTCTGGGTGAGAAACACTGCTCTAGGATTTTTGGATTCATATGATTTCCACCTTCCCAGAGTGCAGATTGTAGAATTAAAGTACAAGAAGGCAGGACTCAGATTAATCCAATTGAGAGCAACTGGACAGTGGAATGGGGGGGGGCAGGGAGGAGGGGACTTTCCTTGGCTGGATGTGTTCAAGCAGAGGCTGGACAACTCTTTCTGGGAGTTTCCTGAGTAGCGTAATAGATCTGACAGCTTCCAACCCTATGATTTGAGGATTCTGTGCCATTATTCATTGATTCAATTGAGGTTTAGTTCGTCTGCCATGGCACTTCAGAGTTCAATTCAGTTTTGAAATATCTAGTATTTCTCCATTTATTTATTTTTTTACACTGCCTGCTACCCCAGTCTCTCAGCCATTTATAATAAGACCCCCCACTCCCCCGAAAACCAGAGATAAAAAAACAACAATCAAAAACAATTAAAACCAACAATTAAACACTTCTTTTAAAGAGTTGTGTTTTGCAAGTTGTCCCCAAAAATTGGAACTGAGACGTGTAAGGTTAAAATGAAAAATAGATGGAGGGTGGACCTTCAAAGTGGGTCAAATCTCCCCAAGTCTCAGATTTAGGGGGTAGAGTAAATCAAGACACTCATTCAGACATTATTACGGTTGGTTGCACAGTCAGCCAGATGTTTAGACTGGATTTGGCATTTTTATCCACCTATCTAGTCTTTCCCAAGGACCTGGAAGAGGCAGATGTTATTTGACAGTGTTAAAGGTATTGTCACAGAATATAAGTTGTTCCTGCCTTTTGCAATGGACTGAGGGTGATTTTGTCAATGCTGATGGTCTTCAAGTGGTGCTCCAGATGTTTTGGGATTGCACCTAAGGCGCCTATAACTATTGTTATTATTATTATTATTGCATTTTTGTCCAAAGGACATGAAATTCAATTGTCAAAGTACTTTGGCACCCCCTCCCCTTAACCACATCGCGCTTCCCAACTACAGATCATTCTGCTGACTCAAACTGGGGAGGATAAAAGGATTGGGGGGGGGGGAACCAGTTGCCAGGAATACCAGATTCTGCCAGGAATATTAAAGGATAGCCACAATAGGAAAATGTACTCTGCTGATAGTTTATCCATTTTCTTGAAGAATGATAGTGCTGTCTGAGCCAAATGCAAGTTTCTTTTAAATTAGCTTGTTTGTAAAACAGGTATGTAGTAAATATTTATTACCCAACAACGCACCCGTTACCCTTGTTATCTTAAGTTTGCAAGTGACCTACAGCGTAGCCTAAAAACAGGCAGCAACATTGTTTGAAGAACACCTAATTCCCTTTGGCTACGAAGGATTGGGAAAGGAATCGGGCGAGGCGAATCTTGCAGTTGAGAAGTCTGGCTTTCTCTGTTTGTTAGGATAAGGCATTAGATCTCTCTCAAGATGTATTGGTTGAGAGAGACAAGTCCGCTCCCAGTGAAGCTGCCTTTCTTGCATCTAAGCTGCTTTAAATCCACTTGAGGCTCATGAAGGGCCCTTTTGCTTACTAACAATACAATCCCTCGTACAAGTACATTCTGTCGGTCATATTCCTTAAGTAGATAAAAGGCAGCATCTTCGAACCAAGGAGAGCTCTAAGCGTTCCTCATTTCTTGCTCCCAAGCCGTTCTTTCTATTTTCATTCCCCACCAAGTATAATTCTTTTTGCTTTAGTGGAAAGGCAAAGGGCCCTCTTCAGGTTTTTAGCTGGGTGCTTGTCGATGACCTTTTTTTTTTTCCTGGAATATTTTCGTGATCTGTGAGCCCATCTGGACAGTTTTGTGATGGCTTGCTTGTTTCAGCAGTCTAATGTGTAAGGAAATTCTCCTTTTTTTTCACAACTCCAGTCTACCTTCTGCCAGGGAGAATTAGGTCCCCCTGGCTGGACCATCTGGATGTCCTAATCTTTGCACCTAAGCCCTCACCTTTGCAAACTTAAGGGAAGACAATCCTCTCGTCATTTTCAGCTGGCACAGCTCATCCGGAAATCAGATTGGTGACTGTTATAACTGCTTGAACGCTCTCTAGCTGGAGAGTCATGTGGTTCCTTCCAGATTTTGGGGGCTGTGGCAGATACCTTTTTTTTTTCTGTTTTCACCAGGCCTCTGCCACTTCATCCCAGATCATCATCTGTTCCTTTTGCTGCTTTGCCCATTTGTTTAGAAAGGATGGTGGTATAATTGGTGGAAATGATCTTTGGAGTGCACTGAAGACGTTACCTAGCCGGGTAACGAACGTTTGCAAGAAAACAACCAGGCTCAGAGAACACCAAGGACTCCACAGTTCAACTCTTACCTACACATATTCTCTGCTATTGGAGGTAAATTCATTTTTGAGAGAGATGGTTGTTCTGCCTACCTTGAAGAAGATGGTGATACATCCCCTCTTCAAGAAGCCATTGCTGAACCCACTGATTCTGGACAACTTTCATCCAGTTTCCTCCCTTTTTAGGTAAGATTGTTAAAAAGGTGGTTGGCTCTGGAAGGTTTACTGGACCTCATGCAATCAGGATTCTGGTCAGGGTGTAATACAGAGACCAGCATTGATTGCAATACTGGAATGGGGTACAACTCTCCTGGTTTTTGGATTTCAGTAGCATCAGTCACAGTATCCTTCTGGGCCTGCTATGAGATCTGGGAGTGGAAAGCATGGGGTTGCAATGGTTTTCCTTCTTTTTTTGTGGCCAATTCTAGTCAGTGTTGACGAGTGGGGAGAGGTCCAGCCCAAACACATGGTTTGTGGAATAACTCAGAGCTTAGCACTTTGCCTCTCCTGTTTGGCATCTATATGAAACTACTGGGTGAAATTATCCATCAATTGGGTCAGGAAACATTATCACATGGATGATGTTTAGCTGTACATTTTGATCCCTAATCAATCAAATGATGCTGTCATATCTCAATGCCTGGAAGCTAAGTGGGTCTGGATGGGAGGAATAGTCTCAAACAACCCTGATGAGACTGAGTGGCTATGGATGTATAGTTTATCTAGTCCCACTGATTTTCCATCTTTGGGTCTGAATGTGATTGCACTTTTCCATTCAGAACTGATGGGCAACTTGGGGGTCCTTCTGGATTCAGCTCAGCTGGTGTCAGCTGGGGCTTGGAGGTCCTTCACAGAGATTCATTTGGTATGCCAACTGCACCTTTTCCTGGACTAGGAATCCTTCATCTTGATCATTCACATCTTGGCCACCTTATGCATGTAATGTGCTGTACTTGGGATTTCCCTTGAAAACTATTCAGAAGCTATAGCTATTCCATAATGCAGCAGCAAGAGTAGTTGTGGGTACATCTCAGTTTGCCCATGTAATGCTTCTGCTACATGAGCTGCACTCATTATGAATAAGCTTTTAGGTGCAATTCAAGGTGCTAGTTACCACCTATAAAACTTTTCATGGTATTGGGCTTAACTATCAAAACAAACAGTGTAATGTTACCAGCCTTATTCTTCTATTTCGCTGTCTCTAGGTATTGCGATGTCCACTATACAGACTTTTTTGTCTTTCTTATCAACAATTGTTAAGTCTGGGGTGTTGCGTGGCAGGTGCT